GGAAAAGATTTATTGGAAGAAGAATGTATGCGTCAGCGGGATCATTTTTTCATCTATCCACCCTTCTGTATGCAGCAAATATTGCGACCCTTTCTCAAGTGCCACTGCGCGACGGTCGATGCAGCATAACATTCTCAGTATTGGTGTATTTCATGGTTTGGGCGTACACACCTGAACTAGTGAACGACTGGTGATGAACCCACAACCTAGCCCGAAGGACCTTCAGGTTTCAGCTCAGTCGTCCTCATCTACCCGTGCAAACTCACCGACACGAATTCTAACCGTTGTGAGAAGCCCAGTTGCACCTGGCCTAAATTGTTTACCTTTGTTGTGTCCAACGGACACTGATGTCCCAGCAGGTGAAAGTCTGAGTTCTGAATACCAGTGGAAAGAACGAAATTACGCGGGGATGTTGGGCGTTTAACTTCTGTAAGTCAACAGTTGGCCAAACCACGTGAGGCTGGTAGTATACTTCGCTCTGAAGTCAACCTCGTTCGACCAGAGGCGTTATAATCTCTTGATCTTTCACGCGCCGGAGTCCAGTGATCCATCACCCCAAGTGCGCTACGATCACGATGTCGAGTTTTTACAGAGTCTACTTGACAGACTCCTCGACGCTGGTGAGTACTCGGTAAAAGTTAGACAAATTACCCGTCTTGGAAAGCAAAGTGATCAACGAAATCGGCCTATGAGAATCATTTTTATGGACGAAGCCAGTCCAAGACTGATCATGTCCCGCCTAAGTAGGCTGAAAGGTTTGAAGATCCATGTTCGTCCAGACCTGGGCCCAGTAGACGGGGAGCGGCCCAAGTCTGCCATCATTGAGCTGAAAAGACGCACTGGTGAGGGGGAGACAAATCTTCGTATCGTAAATTTTCTGGTGGTTTCCAACAATATGCGAATCAGGATAAACAGGCAGCTCACACTTCAAGCACGCCTGGCGGCTCCTGCTGCGGCCTGCGAGTAGCCTTCACAAATGTTTGCAGTGTTATGAATAAGCGCGATGAGCTTTGTTGTTTTATTGGGTTTGAGCGGCCAGACATAGTGGGACTCGCAGAGACATGGCTGCATTCAGAGTTATACACCCAAGAACTTGAACTCAACGGTTACTCGTGCTTCCGATGCGATAGACTAAAGAATGCCCACGGTGGTGTCTTACTTTACATCCGGTCTTCCCTGCGTGGGAGACTTGTGAGCATCCACCGAAGTGACGATGGTTTGTGTGAGCTGCTGTGGTGCTCCATCCGCCTCAGGCGCGGAGAACTGCTTGTGGGCGCAGTTTATCGCAGCCCCCTGAGTCGTTGTTTGGATTGGCTGACCATTCTTCGAACCCACATGAGTCGTTCACACTTTCTACTTATGGGCGATTTTAACTGTCCTCGAATACGATGGCCTGATGTGCATTTGATGCCTGGACATAGTGAGGTTGAAGCAAAGTTTGTGGATTTGGTACTTGAAACTGGTACATCGCAACACAGCCAGCCAACACGCATAACAACACGCTCAACCCCGTCCTGTCTCGACCTGATGTTAACGAGCTACGAACAACGAGTGCATGACGTTTGGATCCTGGAGCCCCTGGCTACAAGCGACCATTCAGTGCTCATAGCTGATATGGAATTATCTTTGCCGTATTCACGTCCGCTGGAACCAGCTCTCAACTACTGGAAAACAGATTTCGATGGTCTAGCTCGAGCCGCGAGCCAACTGGATTGGTCTCTGTCACAGACTGCATCTGTGGAAGACTGTTGGATAAGTATAAAAGAGAGATTGACATCATTGTGTTCCCGATTTGTGCCATTGAAATGTCGGAAGTTTGGACCGATTAAGCCTCATTGGTTTGACAAGGAGTATGGAAACCTGGCTCGGAGGCGGCGCAGACTGTGGGACCAATTCCTCCTCTCTGGCTCTGTCAATGATTATGAAGGGTATAAATGTCAGCGGAACCTTTGTAACAGTGCAAAAAAGAATAAACGCCGACGTTTCGAAGAGCAGCTCACAGTAGCCGCGAAGACCGCCGCAAAAAGAATCTTTGCATACGTGAAGCGACGCCTGAAGCCGGCAGGTGAGGTGCCAGTGTTGGATGGCCCGGATGGACAGCCCCTAACCTCCAGTACTGAGCGTGCGTCCGTGTTGGCGGCGCACTTCGCTTCTGTATTTGCGAATAACCAGGTCTCTTTTCCGAGTTCGACGTGTACCGGTTTTACCGAGCTCGATAGTCTGCATTGCGGTGTTGAAGAGGTAGGTCAACTACTCGCCAACCTTGACGGCACCAAACCTACCGGACCTGATGGGCTTCACCCACTGGTTCTCAAGTCACTTTCGACCATCCTCTCTCCTGTCGTGACTGACCTTTTCAACAGGTCGCTGTCCGAAGATTTGTTGCCGGTTGACTGGAAATGTTCGGTGGTGAAGCCTATTCCGAAAGGCGGCGACCCTAGCAAAGTAGACAACTACAGACCAATTTGTCTGACACCTGTTTTGGCAAAGGTTGCTGAGAAAATCGTGGAGAAGGGATTGCTGCAGTTGCTACAGTCAAACGAGGTCCTGACGTCCGCACAGCACGGTTTTATGCAAGGTCGCTCGTACATTACCAGCCTGCTTGTAACGAGGCATGAGTGGTTGAAGGCAATAAGCAAGAGGAAGTCTGTCGACGTGATATTACTCGCTTTCAGTAAAACGTCCGACAAGGTCAGCCATGAGGTTCTCCTTCACAAACTCATGGCTCACTGCACCGGTGGATCCGCAGCTTTCTTTTTGGACGAAAGTGGAGGGTACAGGTGGACTACTATCTAACTGACTGGTACCCCTCTACAAGTGGCGTGCCTCAAGGCACTGTGCTGGGGCCCACTCTGTTCCTGATCCACACCAACGATCTACCTCAGCTTCTCCGGTCACCGTGTGCCTTGTTTGCAGACGACGTGAAGATTCGGAGAGAAATTGACGCTACCGATGACTGTGGCCTACTTCAGCAAGATCTCAACCGACTATCCACATGGTCTGCAGAAGTTCTTCTCCCGGTTAACCCAGCCAAGTCTGTATTTATGAGCCTGGGGAAGGGTGCTGACGGCCGAACCTACACCATTGATGGCCAACCGCTATATCCCACACCCTCCGTGAAGGACCTAGGTGTACTCTCGCGCTACGATTTGAAGTCGGTGGACAACACGAACAGGCTATATCGTAACGGACTGCGCATGTTTTGAGCGCTCAAACGTAGCTTCGGCACATGGTTTGAAGAGGTTGCCACTCGCCTCTTCTCTTCCATCATTAGACCAATGCTAGAGTACGGTTCGCCCGCCTACTTTCCGATTACCCGAGGCGAGGCACAAAAGATCGAACGGGTCCAACACGTTGCTACCAGGCTCATCTCGAGTTTACGTGGCTTGGGGTATGAAGACCGGTGCGAGAAACTAGGACTCTACACCTTGTCTTACCGTCGGGTGCGAGTCGACCTCATTATAACCTACCGTATTCTACATCTCGGTGACTTCCCAATGCTAAGGCCAATGCTGCACTTACGAGGGTCATGCAGCACACGCGGACACAGATACAAACTTGTCGTGCCGGATGTGAAATGTGTTTCCCACCCACTGTGCTTCGAACGGAGAGTGGTAAATATTTGGAACAGTTTACCTGAACATGTGATGGAGGCAACATCTACGCAGCAGTTCAAAACGTTGTTAGATTTATATTTTACCACTATTCGATTCAGAGAACGATTGCACACTTACGATGACATATCACATTTGTGAGTCCTGAAATATCGTGAGTCAGATATTTTAAATGTTACGTGAGAACGACAGCGATCTTCACGGTTGACAACTTTTATAACGTTTTTCACCATATTTCGAAAGAGTTGTACAAAATTCCTTTTCACTTGTTCTATAATACGGTATATATATATATATATATATATATATATATATATATATATATACACGCAAATTCGCTTACCTAATGGATTCGCGTTCGCGCTTCTTTAAGAAGTCCTGTTCATTTTCGGCTCGATAATCTTCCCGCCACCTTACCCCGTTATCTATTATGGATTCGGGCATACCACCTGATTGTTTTTTGCGTTTGCTTTTGCATCGAGACATGACCTCTCGCCACTACTTTATTTTGCATAACACCACTTTTTTGCTTTCCTTTTGATTCAACAAACCCTGCCATTTTTTCCTCTGTCCAGGACAGTTCCTACTGAATGTTGCTACTTCCTGCAGCTCAGTCTAAGCTAATGGACTCATCTGTTTACATAATCTCGATCTTGTCTCCGGCACCGCACTCTCGTCCCGACTTCTGACGTCACCTACAATTTCGACGAAGTGTGCAATATCATTATGACTGCTAGTCCAAATGTGCTCACCAGACGTGGGACTAACGGACTAATGACTAACCCGTTTTCTGATTAACTCGCAAATGGTTACTTATTACACGGATCCCACTTGATGGCTGACAGTTGTTTTTGCTTGAAGTGAGCTAAATGTCCCGCGGTCTCAATACTGCAGGGAGCTTTTCTCGGTTGCTGTAAACAAATTCTCAACACCTGTCACGATATTGGTCATCTCATATGATTCATGTTCGTCTTTCGGATGCCTGGTTATAATTTACCTGTACAACTTCATTTCTTTATCAATCAGAAATTAAGCATTTTTAATGGTCCATTTTTGTCCCATTACAGCGGCTCTTCCGCGCTACAGCTTATTCCAAAGCGCATCATCCTTAGCTCAGCAATGCATCATACTTGATTAAGACGAACGTTTTATCGTTTACATGTTACATGTGATCTACGCTATTCGGTGCGTTCATATAGCCAAAATTCGTTAGTCGCACCTCACTGTAAGTGACACATACCATTCATTTAACGCGCTACCCTTTTACTTCTCGATTGCTAGCTCAATCGTCTACACTAGCCTTGTTCCTACTTGTATTACAACTGGCAAGCGCAACTTGTTAATATTGTTACCCTTGATCTGTATAATTGTCTCAACATTCTCCAGGAAGGCTTTGATTATGGCGACGAGTATCAGGCGGAGCTGGATTATATCGAAACTGTGGAAAAAGAAAAAGAGGGCTATGAATCAGTGACAGAAGAGCCTAAGGATTTCGATTATGAGAGTATAATATCCAAACTGCCGTCAAAGTCTCAGTCAGAGACGTGCATCACTGACCTAGAGAAAAAGTGGAAAAAGAAGTCAACGAGTCACAAATCCGAAGTTGATTCAGATAGCCGCTTTGATAGCAATAGCATTGTATCCTCTCTGTCTGAGAGCACCGCTACCGAGGCAGACGATGATCGCGCCAGCCGTTGCAGTGACTACAGTTGCGCTTCCTCTAGGAAAAACGTTGTTTCTACTGCAAATGCTTCTAAAGAACCCGAGGAGTGTGAAATTTTCACAACCCCTAAGCCAGAGAGTGAAATGGCCAACTCAAACGCTACCCCGGCTTCTGATGTCGTATCTGTTGCTTGTGTAACAGTTACAGATGTGCTGCACACCACTGATGGCCAGTTATCTCTTCCTTCTACTTCTTCGTTGCATCCGGATACACAATCATCTGATTGCCGCGGTGACACCGATGTTGTCTTACAGCACAGTGGAGAAACAACCGGGCTCAACTTTAACGACGCCACATGCTGTTGCACAGCTGCTGAAAACAACAAACAACAGTCTGCTCACCGGCATAGTCCCCAGGTATCCAAGGATTGTTCATCTGTAATCATTCCCGACGACTGTGGCTCGACCAGTAACCCTGGGGCTCCTAAGAAAAAGTCAATTCATGTCAGAACCTTCAATGAAAATGACTACACTGAGGATACATCTCAGCAGGTCTCAGTGGCGGTGACACCCATTTCGGACAAGGAAGCAATGTCCGCCGAGACGCTGCCACATCACTCAGATGTGAACTCATTGAGCCCGTCACCGGAGGAGACTGCAACCGGAAATACGCAGCAGACTCACAGTGGGACCTCGTTATTTTCCGTGCCTGAGGAATTTGCTTCTCTCAACATCACAGCCGATATGGATTTCAGCCGGACATTAAGAGTTGAATTGACTCGAATATCTGGTGAGTCCACCGCTACTGTCAATCACAGGAAACTGTTGGCATCGATTCAAATCTCTTGTTTCTTATTTGGCTTTTAAATTACTCCTTGTATGTTTAGCGTGCTAAGGGTTCCCAATTTGGGTTACGAATAGCTCTGGAGTAAGCCTCGCTCATTCACACTAGTGAGATCCCATCCGAGATGATAACTGTCTCGGTGTTGGTGGTTGCCACCGCCGAAACTATTTCCCTCTTGGTCGGTTCCCTCGGGATACGTGGTATCCGAAACAGTATGAGTGCATTGCAACGATTTCTTACAATCGTTCTTTCCTATAGTTATCTTTTTTAACTTTCACTTGCCGCATCATTTGATGAACACAATACGACTGCATTGGAAATATTTTTAGCTGTTTACCTAGTTTGTGCCTCCGTTTTATCTTCCCATTCGCAATTCCTGCCACTGTAATGCAGATCACTTTCTGTTTTCAGCCATCCTTCACTTGTTTTTGAGCTGCTAAGCTCTAAACATTGAAAACCGAGGTTCGTTAAATCAGCTCCAGCTGCATGCGCAGGGTTCGATTACCGTTATTCCTATCTCGATGTTAACCTAATGAAACACAAAAAGCCTTGGGAAACTCACTTGAGTACTCAGTAGGATTTTAATAGGCGCTTCTTTGCCATCTAGTGCCTCTCAGCTCCAACCAGCGATTGCCAAAAGCTTTAATCGGAGTCTCCATCAATTACTGCTGCTCCTTTTAGAGGATATGCTTGATTTCCAATCATGTCATTGTCCGTGGCTATTTTCACTGTGTATTTTTTGGGAGGATAATAGCTAATGATCCACTTCACAGTACACCTGCTCTACAATTCAACCATCCATACTATACCTTTACTTTCTCTATCTGAGATCACCGAGTTTCTGCGGAGTAGCCTTTCCTGTGCAACACATGGTGCGATACAGTGACTGGTCACCGCACCTGACACTGGATATCTGCACTGTCGACGTAGATGTTAGAATCCAGGGATTTAATGATTGCCTCTCCTGGTGCACTGCAACCAGCCGAGCCATATAGTGCAACGTACACTTGTCGCGTGCCAGTTTGCAGTGAGTTGTGGGAGGCTCTCTCGATAGGAATCGGCGTTCTCCAGAGTCTGCCGACTTCCATCCATTTGAGCAGTCTGGCCATCTAACCCATCATGTTGCGTTCACCTATGGAAACGCACAATGAAGCTGTTATAGTGCTGCTCGATTGAAAACTTGTTAACCTGGATTACTGGGACCTCTCACTGTTTAACAGTTGCGTAGCGAACCACTCAATCCTGAGTACATTTTCTGCAATTGTACCTTCTCTCGATATGTCCCTTACACACACGTACATCATTTTAGATGATCATTTGCTTCCTCTTTCCTCGACGACGCGGTACTGGGGAGTGGTGATCACACTAGCCCTATCGACACCTGCTCTATGGATAGCATGTGTGCGACTGCTGAACTCGTTTCAGCTGTCACACGCCCTCTGTCGTTACTATGGCTTTTTCCCTAGTGCTTGTAGTCCTGTTTAATGGATATCAGTAGATGTCTACAGTTCCATTCGTTCCTTCAACTGCGGTGTATTTTCCATGATCCTCGTTACCGTTATAATAATTGAAAAAGTGTCTAGCTTGCTTGCATCGCTGCTGTTTGGACAAACGCTTGTCCACAGAACTAGCTCAGGTGCCGTACTACAGACGTTTTGTAAGTGATATTTTGATTTTTTGCTCCTCGGAGCAGCAGGTCACACCATTGGTTAAGCACCTTAATGGGGTACACGCCTACTTACTGGTCACATGTGAAGTAGTACAGTGGAATTGTCTATCATATAAATAAATGCATAGATAACTTAAACGTGAACTCGTCATAAACCTCACTACTCCCGTAGACCGCTGACCACCGGCTTCCTTAAAATACAAAGACTTAGATACAGACTCGTCGGATAAACTGCGACCCAGTGTTGAAATTTGTGTTTAGTCACGTTAATCCCCGCTCCCTTTGGTCTACCGGTGCTGTCGCAATGAGCCCGATGAAAACAACTATGTTTCAACTTCTAACCGTCATTTACTTTGAGCCTGTATTTCCGTCTTCCATCCTGCACTGCAAGCTTGTCTAGTTGCACCCAATATTTGGTATACACACACATAGATATATGCATGGCTGCATCCGGTTCCGTATTCGCCTGTCACTGCGGCTTTCATGGAGACAGCCACAAGCCGGCTGCGACTACGAAGGAACCATGGGTCGCTTACGATGCACTACGCACAGTTCCATTCCCACATCCCACATCCAGCGTAAACCCGAAGGATTAAGATCGCGAAGCATGTGGACGAGAGCCACATTTCATCAATGGAGCCGGCTCACACTCCTTCAACATGCACAGCAGAAGTGTTTCTGTCTCTCTACTGTCGGAGCCATGCGAACCAGACGTACACAATTCGGTGGTTTGGTCGTACCCCGTTCCCCATTGGATGCATGGAACCACTCATTGAGCCTAGCGCGGTCGCGTGGCAAATGTACCTTTTCTCCCCATGCAACGACCAACTGTCTCCCACAACCAGTATAATAGAAGTTTAGGCTTTTCTACAGGCAGGCACCTTGTCGACGTTCGCATCAAGCGCAGTTGCACCGGTGATATTAATCATCAGGCAACATCTAAAAGCAAGAAACTCTATACACAGGCACACGTACATACCAATTGCAGCGGGGATGTAGCACACGTGTCACATCGACCCCAGTATTAGTCTGTGTTGGTAAATGGAATGGAATCAGAAGCAGCGTACTTACCAAGCGTTGCGATGATGATGACTGCCTAATCACCGGACTAACTGCATCTTTGATATTGTCTTCCTGTGTCTGCGTCTGTTGGTGTGGTGCCATCTTGGATACTTGTTGACATCTTGAGCAACAGCGAACCAACACTTCAATGTCGTTGTCAATACCAGACCAGTACACATAACTGCGGACAGTTGCCTTCATTCTGTTCATACCGGAGTAAGCAGAAGGGCGCTAGCGGAGTACAGCTTGCCGGAGACATGAAGGAACGACAACTTGATCTAAAGTCATGAGGCAGGAATCGACCACGGAAAGGAGTCTCGGAGTTGATACACTTGTTTCAGTTCGCCCCAAAAGGCAGTGTTTGACTAGCGTGTCTGAATGTAAATGATGGCTTTCTGCATGCTAGGGGTCTTGAGCAGTTGCGTGACGTATGTCGGCGGCATTAATAGTGAATCTTCGGATAGCGTTCGAGAGTTGATGCCAAACGTTGTCCTCGACGGTAACGGTCGCGGTCACCGTGTTTTCTGGGGCATGTTTGGAAATGAAGCGTGATAGCCCATCGGGTTGACCGAAATTCTGAGTAAGGCAGTTGCGGATTTTGAAGTCGTAACCAAGAAGGATGACATCCCCACACTGAAGTAGGCTAGCTGAGTATGCCGGAATGCCCTTGTGATCAGCCAATAGCGTGAACCACCGGTCATACAGCATCTTGTGGAAGTTGGCGACGGCAAACACGATAGCCAGGTCTTCCTTCTCCATCTGACCATAGTTCTTCTCTGCAGGCGTCAGGGCACGTGAGATGTGCATAAGCGCTTTTTGGAACCATGTTGGAAGCGATGAGTTAGAACTGCTCCGAACCCGCAGGTAGAAGCGTCAGCAGCGACCAAAATCGGCAAGGTTGGGTCGTAATGGGTCAGCAGTCATTCAGAACTCAGCATGGATTTCAGACGAACGAATGCCTTCTCGCAAGCGGGGGACCAGTGTCAAGAAACATCATTCTGCATCAACTGATTGAGCGGGGCTCGAACCTCGTATAACGATTTCAGGAAGGCGCTGAAGTAGCTGATGAGGCCCAGGGAGGACCGCAATTGTGACACATCCGCTGGAGCCAGCATTTGCTGGATGGCTCTGACGTTCTCAGGATCAGGATGACGGCCGCTGGCATCGAAAACGAAACCAATGTATTTGCTGCATGGAAAAAAATTGACATTTCTCGACTTTCAGACGGAAGCCATACTCCTGGACCGCAACCAGGCGCTCTCGAAGCTCTTCTGGAGTGCGACCAACAATGAATAGATCTTATATTACTTATAAGTAACAGGATTTTAGTTGTAATTCTGATAAGGCTTTTATCCCAGTAGTTCACAAGCTACGTAGCAGAGCCTAGTCTGGAAAAGCGCCAGACGCGTTTCGCCCTATTGGGGCTGGTCAGTGGCGCGCATTCCCTCGGTCGTCTAAGGAGAATCGAACCCATGACCGCTAGAGGCAGATACCAACTAGCCAGCAGCTTAAGCCACTGAGCAATGGGGGACGTTAGCTGGGCTACATAATTTGTGTAGATCGTCCAGGTACGCGGCCGTATCCAGAATACCGGATATCATGGCGTCCATCGTCTGTATCCTGTTGCCGGTGATCAAGCTTTCTTGCCAAGTTGCACTTATTTGGATCTTGCATGTTTTCTTGGGTCATTTAGGTTTTTCTTCATTTCTGCTTATTTATGAAATCATTCTGTGTAGTTTGTGGTCGTGTAACATCGGACAACCGGTAATGTATCTTACCGTTGACAGTGACAGTAAGTAACAGAACATAACTTCATCATGTTTTGCTGTGCGTGTTCCACGGGCAGTTCAGTGTGGCATTATGGATTGCTTAGATTAAAATATAAGATACTATCCGTGGCACAATTTGCCTGTATGCATCATATAATAAAAGGCTTTCTGAACTGCGCACCCACGGATGTCTCTTGAGAATATGTTGTCGCATCGTTGATTGGCAGCTTTCAGCTACTCTGCTATCATTACCACCGAACGCACTCCGTGTGCCTTTTGAAACGTTTGACTTGACACATCTCCTAAATTAGCCCAAATGTCCATCACTCACTGAAACGACGCATCTCAAGGAGTCTTGGAACCAATGGGAATGTTGGTGCATAGCAATGACCTGTGAGATGGAGAAAGCCAAGGCTATTGGGAACACCCGAGTGCCATTCCATTTC